GACTCTCTGAGGTAAAATGTAAACTTAATAGCTATTTTTTCATGTTTAGCAGCAAATTATTTTCCCCTGCTACATTTGAAGCAGCAAAGCACTTAGTTGTTCTGGCCTATATTTATAGTGGGAACATGTTTGAGATAGACATTTGGCCTGCCTGTGGCAGTCCTGCAGCTTTCAAAATGTTCATGCAGTTGCATGTGCATAGGTAAGAGTAAGATTTATGATAGATAATAGAACATTGAATACACAAGAACAACCCAATCAGGAGAGTTGGGAGAACAGAGAGACTAACCCAAGGTCACTCAGCCAGTTTTCATGCCTATGTGAGGACTAGAACTCAGAGCCTCTCTATTTTTATCCAGTTACTTTAACAATTATGCCAAATAAAAATATAATGGCTAAAATATATACACTTTTTGTGAAATTTAAATGGAAGAAGAACAAGTGAAAGCATACATGATAAAATGGGCTAGGATCATTGGACATAATTGATACAACAGTAGGAAAATATGTGGTTAAAAAGGACTGAAATTCCCATTAGGTTATACCTTAAAAATATTATAAAATGATGTAATATTGGCATATAACTCCAGAAAAATTATCTAAAATATGTCTAAAGGTACTTCAAATCTATATTGGAAATGTGGGCAACCCAAAGGGTCATTTTATCATACCTGCTGGACTTGCAAAAATGCCTGAACATTTGACTTCAAATACACACAAAGATACAAAGAAATTTAAAGATCAATATTCAATTGAAACTAGAACTGGTGTCATGGTTCCAATAGATAAAACCAATGAAAAAAACTTCAAGGCAAAGAATTCTTCTTTAAAGAACATTTTATTCAGGAAACAAAGTATTGACACTTACATAGTTGAACCCTAAAGTTCCCTCCCCCAGATACAAAGTAACAAGTTGCAATTCCCACCCCAGAAAAACTGTCATAAATCACATTCACCAATTAATCCAAAACACGGGCTCTCCTCCCAACTTCTCAGCCTGCCAAAACTTTATTTAACACTGGCCTTGAGTTCACTCACAGCTGCAATTTTTATGGCTAACTGAAAATGCTCAAACATTCCCCCCTGCCCCCCTTCTACATCTAAAATCCCAGAAAGCAGAAAGAAGCACAATGAAAGCAAAAGATAAAATGGCTACAGTTTTCTCAATTGTCGCAGTGCTGACAACTGGATAGAGCAGAGCTCCCCAACTTTTCTGCGTTGGTGGCCCAGAAGAAAAGGGAGGAGCAGGGAAATGTACGCACAGGCAGCCCTGGGCACTCATGCGCAAACAGGCGGCTAGCGCCTGTGTGACACTAGCAGTGGTGCTAGCATCCTTGTGCATATGTAAATGGGGCCGCTAGCACCAGCCCAGCAGTGCTACCATGAGTGGGGGGCTCACCAGCTATTCCCGGGGCCTGGTGGCTAAGAGGCCATGGCCCAGTACTGGGCCTTGTACCATAGGTTGGGGAACCCTTGGATAGACAATTAGAAAAGAGTTGTGGAACATTGTTTCATATATGAAAACTGCTGTAATTTTTTACATGCACAAAAAGGAAAAGACTGAAATACCCACAATGGAGTTCAAAGGAGAGTACATATTGCTTCAACCTCCTATTTCCCCAACAAAAATTACTTCCTGAGTTAGGTTGACTGAGAAGGAGCAAGCAAATCCAGTCACCCAAGGAGTGTTTGTGACTAGAGTAGAGTAAAAGTTAGTCTCCCTGCTCCTAGTCCAAGACCTTAATCCCTCCACCCTTCTGGCTCTCTTTATGCAAAGGTAATCCTTTTATTCCAATACAGGCGAGAGCTTTCTCCTTTCGGAATCAGAGTCAGCATCATTGAGCCTGGGGGCTTTGCCACAAATATGCTCAATGACTCAGAACAGCACGTACAGGGTGTGTTCAGCCGAATGCCTCCACACGTCAAAGAATATTATGGACAGCCATACCTGGATGCTTGTGAGTAAAAGGGGAACCCTAAAAAGACTTTTGTCTGCATATGAGTTATCTAGAAACAGCAGGGGCAGGAATCATAAAGGTAACCAAAGCCAACAAAAGACATTTGGCTACTTGAAGTAAACCAGCAACAGTTGCCCTTCATGTCCTCATTTGGAGTGAAGATGCTAACTAGTCAAGTTATTTTCCCACATCAGATAGAAAATCCCATGTTTCTCCATCTTGGGGTATTACAAATAAAATAACGCAATAAATAACCACTGAATGGCTTGTCAACAACGACACTTTCAAAAGGCTTAATTCATTCTGCTTGAAGTGACTATCTCAGTTCATCTCCTGACAGGCCCTGGCTTTGAGTGGAGAGTCCCTACCAATCCCAAAGCCATTCCACTTTTGAAGCATCACATTTTCAATTAGCTCTTTGGGCTGAGAACTGAAGAGAACCTTTTATATTGCTCTTCATTGTTCACACGCAACAAGGGTACTTGACACCTTATCTCCCACTATACCTTTCTCCCAGAATAGAGAGTTGGAATACTCATATTTTTTATATAAAATATAGCATAGAAACTACTATAGAAAGATAATCCATTGACTGATTTTTGCTTCATATTTCTTAGATCACAAATATATCTGCTATGTCGGGAAGTTTAGCAGCAAGAACCTCTGCTTGGTCACCAATTGCATAGAACATGCTTTGACGTCTTGCTATCCTCGTA